GGGGGGGGCTGGGAGGCAGGAGAAGGAGGCAGAGCCGCCGGAGCCACGTTTACTGCTGGGCGGAGATGACCACTAAGAAGTTGAGCTCTTGGAACATGAATCCAAGAGAGTAAATTCACTGTCCCTGTGAGTCAGAATGAAGGGGCAGAGCCCGGGGCAGTAATTGTGAGTCAGCAATTTGGTGGGTCTGGGAAGGAACGAGGGCTTGGCCTATATGCTAAGTCCAAAGAAGGAGCCTTCGGTGTGTCAAGGAAAATTTACATCTATTTTAATAGTCAAGCATTTGGAAGAAGACAAATAGCTGTTATGTATAAAGTGTTCATTAAAAAGTACAAAGTATATGAAAAATCGATTTGGAGAGCCCTCTCTGTCTGAGGGTGGGGGGGATGAGAACGTGGGGGCTGGAGAGGCAGAGGGTTAGTGATAGTTATTTGCAAAGAGGAAAACGGTCCTCAGAGCAAGGAGGAGAAACGGCATACAACATCCCCGATGTGATGTAGGTGACGTGTTCTGTGGAGCCCTGGAGCATCTCAGTGACGAACAGAAGGTGGATACAAGAGACGTGTCTTACCATCTTACTGGAACGATAAGAACCCAGGAAACAAGAAATGAATGTGTCCAAGAATTGGAGCAAGCAGGTAAGCTTGATGGCAATTCAGCATTTGCCCAGATGGCTGACTGTGAGTGTGAGCGGCTCAGATGGGAGTGAGGTAGTCCCAGGTTCAGAAGTCAGAAAGGTGGCTCCCTAGGGTAGAGGGCCAGTGTTTGGTTTCTGTGGCAAAGAAGAAAACCCACAAAGAGGCAGACAGGGTAGACACGAAAATAGTAGAGGGATAGAGAGAACTAGGAGACAAACTAGAGACAAAGGAGAAAGAGCTGGAACGTCCCAGAGATGCAGTGGTAGGGAGGGACAAGGATGGTTATTTTCAGAATCAGGGGCGACAACGCATCATAGAAACACTTATTAAACAGATTTCATCAAATTGAAAAATATCTGCTTATCCAAAGACACCATGAAGAAGAGGAAATGGTGTCAGAATGGGTGAAAATATTTGCAACGTACATATTTAACAAAACATAGTACCCGGAACATGTGTGGAGGGTTTCTGGTTATGAATTTAAGGCCACAGAATAATGAAAATACAGATTGGGGGGAACCAATGGAATTGTCCACTAGGCCCAATTTTATCTAAAAGTCTATTGCCCACCCATGTGGTCATCCGCCCACTTACCCATCCCTGCACACACAGGCACACCATGCCTGGCTTTTCGGTGGCTTTCCTTGAAAAATACAAGCAGCGAAGGGAGGAGGAGCTTTGACTGTCTGGGGCTCGCTGCGTTTAGAACACAGGCAAAGAAAGGGGATGAAAACTAGAGATGGAGCCATGAAATGAAGACTGGAATGATAACCAGTGTACCTAAATGCAGTTGGAATTCAAAAACTACCAGGGAGGTGTGCGTTATCAGAAGGAGGAAATAATTTTTGACCTAATTTTCCCAAGGTTGTGCCAGGAACCAGGGCACTGGAAGTATAATTGCAAAATAGAAAACTGCTACGAAGGACTTTTGATGGACCCACAAAGGGAAGGAGCATCTCTGCACATTTGTTGTGGCAAAGATGAGAACCTAGATGATACAAGAGAGGGAAAGTGGGATGTGCACAAAGTGGACACACTGAAGTTTAAGTCATCATTCAAATTTGAGGTTGAAAAATCACAAACAAAAAGTTAAAGAGCTAGAGAGACGGTTAGAGGCAGAGAAATGAGTGCTCTAAAAGAAGGTGGATAATCTCAGTAGTCAAAAAGGTGCAGACTAAAAAGGTAGAGAGCATGATATTAGAAGAAACTCAAAGAGGGAAAGTGCTACGATATAGCAACCCAGCAACATAGAGAGAACGGAATAGAGAATGAGTGAAGTCAATTGGGAGGAAACCGCTGTACCAGGGAAGACAGTTTGGGACATTGTAGGAGTTGAGAGAAGAGTCACTGAACAGAAGTAACTTCTGGCACGAAGGGTGGAACCCACTAGCAAGAAAGTTTCAGAATATGGTGACCCTCGTGTGACATACTCAGAGGTAACAAGTCTCTCCCCGGGCCATTCCTGTCTACTCCTGTTTACAACATAGTAATCCCCAAATTCCTATCTTCTGTCCACACTTACCTTCTGAACTCATTCATCTATTGCCTGAGTACACTCATGCAGGGATCTGAAAAACTTCCCCATGTGGATGCTTTTCTGGAACCTCAATACAAGAGGCTTCCACAATCACATAGTCCAGCTTTCTTGATGCCAGATCCGCCTCCCATTCCAGTGTTGCCTGTTTCAGTGTGGACACTACTTTCCATTCTTGATGCTGAGGGTCATCAGCACTCACCTCCTCCCTTGACATCCACATCCTGTCAATCCTCCGTCTAGTTTAGTTGATTATTCTGTTAACATGCCTCCCACGCATCCACCCCCTTCCATACATAGCACAAAACCCATCTCTTTTCTCTGGACCCATCTCTTCTCTCTGGAACTAAGCAATAGTCTCAAGTTTACTTCTTTGAGTTTCTTGTAATATCATGCTCCCATCACATCCATTCTCTCCAGCTCAGCTAGGTGACTCTTTGAAAATACAAATTGGCTTCCTCATCATTCTTCCTTATATCATAATTTCTGGCTGTCATAAGGATTAAATCTATTTTCCTTCTCACAACTCCAGCTTCATGTCTGCCTTTCCAGCCATCTCACCCCACAAGTTTGTATAAAATTTTGTAAGACTCTTCCTCCATGAAATCCTAACCAACAGAATCCAACAGAGCATCAAAAAAGAAAATTCACTATGACCAAGAACACAAGGATGAAAATCAATGCATGTAATCCAACACATAAACTAAAAGAAAATAAAACCATATGCTCATATCAATTTACACTGAGAAAGCATTTGACCAAGTTCAACATCCATTTATGATGAAGGCCTTCAAAATTCTTGGGGTAGAAGAAACATACCCTAATATAATAAAAGCCATATATGACACGTTTATAGCTAATATCATTCTCAGTGGTGAAAAACTGAAAGCCTTTCCCTTAAGATCTGGAACAAGACAAGAATATTCACTCTCACCAGTGCTTTTCAATAGGAAACTGGAAGCCCTACCCAGATAAGTAAGACAAGAGAAAGACATACAAGGAATTCAAATAGGGAGAGAAAAAGTAAAACTGTCACTATCTGCAGATGATATGATATTATACAGAGAGCCCTAACTCAACAGAAAAACTAATCAAAATAATCAACCAGTTTAGTCAAGTAGCAGGATACAAAATCAACATACAAAAATCAGTGGCCTTCCACTATGCAAGCAATAGATCTGAAGAAGAAATCAAGAAAATCATCCTTTTTATAATTGAAGCCAAAAAATGAAATACTTGGGTTTAAACCTAACAAGAGGTGAAGGACCTATACAAAGAAAATTATAAAACATTGTTAAAATAAATAGAAGATCCAAAAAAAAAAAAAAAAAAGGAAAGACACCTCCTGCTTGTGGGTTAGAAGAATTAACATTATCAGAATGGCTGTCCTACCAAAAGCAATTTAAAGATTCACCTCAATTCCAAAAAAAAATTCAATGACATTCTTCAAAGAAGTAGAATAGGTATTGCAGAACCACACAGACACACACATACACACACAAAACCCCTCAAATAGCTAAACCCTCCTCCTGACTAAAAAGTAGAATGGAAGTATCACATGCCAGGACTTAAAACTATACTGCAAACTCATAATAATTAAAACTGTATGGCACTGGAACAAAAACAGATACCCAGACCAATGGAATCAAATAGAAAAGCCAGAAATAAACCCATATGTATGGACAACTGATCTTTGACAAAGGAGCAAAGAATGTACAGTGAAACAAGGACAGCTTGTTCAAGAAATGGTGCTACATTTCTGGGAAAACTGGATTGCTACATGCAAAAGAATGGCTCTAGACTACCACTTCACACCATGAACATAAAACAACTAAAAATGGATAAAAGAGTTGGACATAAGACCTGAAAAAATAAAATATATAGAAGAAAATGTAGGCAACAAACTCTATGAGGTATACTTCAATGACATCTTTAAAGACACACCCCTCTACCACCCAGAAGCCTAGAAAGTGAAGGAAAAGATGAACAACTGGGACTACATCAAATTAAAAATCTTCTGTAAACAAAAGGAACATTAACCAAAACAAAGAGACACCCAACAGACTGGGAGAAAATTTTTTTCACCGAATACTACTAATAAGGAATTGATCACAAAGATCTACAAAAAGCTGGCATGACTCAATGAAAGTAAACAACCTAATTTTAAAAATGGGCAACAGGCATATGAAAAATATTCAGCAACACTGGCAAATTAGGAAATGCAAATCAAAATCACAGTGAGATACCACTTTACACCAATGAGACTGGCATACATTTTAAAACACAGGAGAAAACAAATGTTCTCAAGGGTGTGGAGAAAAAAAGGAACTCTACCATTTTGTAGTGTGGTTTCTACACTGCTGGTGGGAATCAAAGTGGTCCAACCACTATGGAAAGCAGTGTGGAGTTTCCTCAGATTGCTAAAAATGGAGCTACCTGATCCAGCAATTCCACTCCTAGGAATCTGCCCACAGGACACAAAACCATTAACTCAAAAGGACACCTGCACCCTTGTGTTTATTGCAGCACTGTTTGCAATAGGTAAGACATGGAAACAATCCAAATGCCCAAAAGTAGATGACTGGATCAAGAATATGTGGTATATATACACAATGGAATATTACTCACAATCAAAAAACAAAAAAGACAAAAATCTCATGTCTTTTGCAGCAACATGAATGGAGCTACAAAGGATTATGCTCAGTGAAGTAAGACAGAAAAAAAGAGAAAAATATCAGATGGCTTCACTTATAGGAGGATTGTAGGAGAACCAAATAAGGGATCAGGAAAAAATAATTACAATAAATTAGAAAACAAAATTAACAGGCAATTATAAATAAGAGACACTCTGCGGGGAGGCAGAGGCAGGGGGATCACGACAGGGGCCATGTGATTAGAAAGCAAAGAAAAACAGAAGATCCGGTGGGTTTGAAAGGTGTGAACCAGGGTCCAACATAGGACTTTGATTAAAGCAAAAATAATGTTGGTGGAGAGAGAAAGGAAACTTCTGAGAGAACACAGACCTGGACCCAGCCACTTGCAGTTGGAAAGATCTGGAATGAGAACACTAGAACAGAATAGGAGAAAAAAGATAACAGTATTATGGGAAAAAGAGACTTGAAAACAAGGGGCGGGAGCGAACACGGGAAGAGGAGCCAGACAGGCCAGAGACGCACAGCTAGCGGCAGATGGTGGAGGCAGAAATGCGGGACGCTGAGGGGAGCGCGGGAGGAGGCACGAAGTGGACATGGAGCAGGTGTGGGGCGGCTCTCACGATGGGGCGCGGCAGGACAGGTGACCGTCCTCCCGCGTGGCGCCCGCTGCTTCTGATCACCCTCTACTTTTTTTTCTCCACAGTGAACTTTGGCACCAGAATTCCTCACAGGACTGAGCGAGGAGGACTGTTGTGGGTGCTCAGCCCTCCGCCAGCTGAGGGAGAAGGTAACTGGCTTATGCCCGAACCAGCTCAACGAGCCTTTTGTATTCTGTCTGTAGGGAAAAGTATCTTCCTCCTCTCCCTTGCCCGATGTTCTACTTCCTGTTCACACGTGTAAAGATGGAATTGTGTTCACTCTGTTCGGTTTGTTTTCATGGAGGACAGAGACTGGCCAGAGGAGGTGGGCACCAGAGTGCAAGTGCCTAGGTGATTTTGTTCAATGCAATAAAAATCCAAACGTCAGAAAGTTACGGCACTTAAGACGAGATCCCAGAAGTCACGGGAGCACGGCAGCAAGGCTTGCCATTCAGAAGCTCCTCGTTGGCTGGAACTGGTCAGGGAAGGTTTCCGGTGCCGTGGACCATGTGAAAATGAAAGAACTTGTGTCATTTGGGGAGAAGGAATCTGAGGTTGAGGAATGTAAAGAAAACAAAAGCAGAAAGGAAACTATGTAGAAAAGCGACTGTATTGAAATAATTTAAAAATCAGTAAGGAATGAAAACGTGTCTGAGGAAGAGGAGAGCACTTGGAGCCTTCTATTCCTGAAGCAGGAGCGTCTTCCTGCAGCAGGACTTGATCTCAAGACAGGCGTCCTCGACTTGCTGTCGTCCTTTTTTAGATTTTTGTGCAAAACTTAAGTAGAGCTGAAATTGTCCTTCCAGTTTGGCATGAGGCCTTCTGCTTTTCAGCGTCAGGAGAAGAGTCAGTCAGTGACACCAGGGATTTAAGACTTCACTTTCAAATAGGCCTCACGTTGCATGAGTTTGCCAACATCAGCTGCTGATGTGTTCTGAGCACATTTGAGGCAGGTCAGGCCAGGCTGCGAGGTCGGTCACTAGGTGGAGCAGATGTATTTTGATTATCTTCAACACAGTGTGGGTTTACCCGCATGGTGCCCGTCGGAAGTCAAGGAGACCTGCGGTGAGGGTCCAGGTTGAGTTGTCCTGGGAGCGCGGCCCTGTCACACGCAGTGACATCTCTTGCTGGTGGCCCCGGCTGCTCCCAGGGAACAGAACGAGTCGCAGTGCACCTGTCTGGGCACACCTGTGCCCAGGGCTTCCTGTGGGCGGGAGACTCTCACTCGCCCTTCTCCATTTGAAAGTCTCCCGGGGACTGACGCGTCCCAAAGGACACCACCGTTCCGGAAACTGTCCCCGTCGGGGTGTGCCTTCTCAGGGAGGTGGCTCGGTCCCACGGTCCCTTCTCGCATCCCACCCGCCCTCTTCACTTTCGCAGGATTGTTACCTGCAACATATAAATCAGATCACATTACATTTCCACCGAAACCTCGGCTCTTCGCGGTCCTAGGGTTAAATCCATTGTTTTCCCAGCACGCGCCCTGGTCTGTTCCTTCTGTCTCATCTCTAACGCGACATGGTGTAAATGTTTCCGGTTGCGATTGTCACGCGGACCTTGAACAGCTGCTCGGTGGTGTTGTCTAGTCCGTCTGCGCCTCAGTCTGCTCCTTGGTCAGGAGACATTACTCTGCCTCATGCCAGATGCCCAGGGAGTGAGTGGCGGGAAAGAACCGCAGTGGAGGAAGTCTGGGGCTGGCGGGACCAGAGAACCTGATGGCGCTGACAGACAGAAACGCGGCAAAACAGGGAGCAGCACCGGGAGGCTCCGGGGGTCTGAGGAGAGGGGGTGGATGGTTTTAGCCTCCGGTGACAGTGACATGGAGCGTCACCTGCAAGCCGGGTGGCCCAAGGGACACACTGAATGGTCCGGGACTGGGGTTGCTGCGTCCAAGAGGCGCTTGAGCTCCGTCAGCCCCCCTGACGCGCGTTTGCTGCGCGCGCTTGCGCGGCTCCGCCCAGGCCGCTGAAGGGTTTCACTCCTTTCTGCAGAGGGAAGCCCCTGTGGTGTGAAGCGGCCGGGGGCAGCAGCAAGCGCCCCACCAGCAGGTGAGCCAGGTGAGGAGGGATCCCGCTCTCGTGGCAGGCGGCGGGAGGCTCAGTCAGGGCTCTTGCTGGCCCTTGCTGTGGGAAGAGAAGCGTCCCTTCCCAGGAACGTGTCCTTCCCGTGAGCTCTTCACGCTTTTGCTCTGAAGACTCCATGCCCTGACTGAGCCGCCGCCATCTTACTGGCATCCCTCGTAAAGGACAGAAGCCCAGCACCTCTCCAGGGCCATGAGGTGTCATCAGGCTATGGGCTTGTGTGGAGTCGTTTTTTCTTTTCAAGAAAAGAAAAATGGGGGGGGAGCAAGAAAATTGTTCTCACAAAATTGCACCAGAGGAACTGGGGTCACCCCTTCTTAGAGGTAAAGAAATGGAAGTGTGGGAAAGGAGATTGGTCTTCCCTGGAGATCAGAGCGGGGGAAGGGCAAGTCTTGTCCTGAGCCTCGTGTGGCTGCTGGCGCCAGCAAGCCGGGGCACAGCGTGGTCACAGGACCGGCAGGGCCAAGGGAGGCTGCCGGTTGGGGGGGGGGGGGCTGGGACAGAGCCGAGGCAGAGGGAAGCCCCCTGCACCAGTGAGGGCAGTCGGGAGGGGAGGAAACCAGGGAGCTGGCGAGAGGAGGAATGGCTCCCAGGCCCAGACAAGAGGCCTAGAAAGACAGGAAGAGGGAAGGCGCAGCGGAGCGGTACCGCTCGCCCTGAGGAGCGCAGGCAGGAGAGTTAAGAGCTGAGCCATGTCCAGGGTAGCAGAGCCACAGATATCCCCCAGGGCAGAAGCATCGCTGTCTGGGGCAAAGGGGCACAGAGAGCAGGTGGGGGCGGGGGGGAGGGAGGTGCGAGCAGGCAAGCGGGGG